GATACCGGATTCCGTAGTAAACCGACCGCTGTCTACTTTCTTGTGTGTCAGTGATTTGAATGGGGAGGAGGGGGGGGGGGTTTCGTCAGGCGCGCTTCCCCTTGGATGCATAAACCCTGCTGAATAATCTATGGGTACTTATTTCTGCCCAGAATGCCTCACACTATAGTCTATACTTATGGTGGCGTTGGGAGCTGCATACATTGCCCTGGGAAGAGGGTGCGACTTGCTCCATAACTTTGGGACTTGACTGTGTCCTTCAACCACCACATGTAGGCTATTCGACCAGTTTGAAAGCCTTGAAGTTTGACCTGTACCCAAATGTCATATGGACGGATAGGTTAGCCAGGAACTGCATTCAGTAAGCCAGTTTGCGCTTTGGACCACCTCTGTCTGGACTCATTGGTCTTCCCGAGTTTTCTGCCGTGGTCTCGTCAACTTGTCGAGCCTTCGACGACCAACCACCCATCAGTCGAGGTAATCTTTCTGTGCCGCCGGACTACATGCTGTTGTTGACTCGATACTACGAAAAACAACTTCCTTCACATAACTACTCTGTTTTTTTTCCCATGCTCACCTTCAGCCACTGCACTGACAGTTAAGTGTCTATACTTTGGCGGAACGTCCATGCCAAACCAAGTGACAAATGTTTCGCCATGTCTATACTTGGTCTGCTGAAATATCCGGTAGACACTCACACTCTCCCGTCAGTCTGCCGAAATCTTTCGGTTCCTAAAAAAGGTGCCAGAAAAACCCTGCCATAAGCCGTTGTGCGTATGCTAATTCAGTGACGCCACGGAAAGCCGCGATGCCACATGACCTGCGCCCTGACGCTGCATAAGACAATGGTAGTAATGACGGATACAGAAGGGTTTGGGTTCATTCTCTGAAATACATGTGAACTAACGGGAAGCTCATATTTGCCCGACGTTTCGGATTCTGACTCAAATCCATCATAAGAGGCCACAGAAGGTAAAGGTGACCTTTCCTTCCTAGCTACTCCCCGGAACCTGCATTTGTGGTTGTATCGGCAGGAAGCCCATGTGATCAGCCCTGGTATGCGAAAACGCAGATGGAATACTAACATGCAGGCCTTAACTAATCCAAAGGGGGATTAAGCATATGTGGAACTTAGACATCAGGAATCGCTATTTCAGAGTCAACCTCACATCATGTCAGCACATGCCGGCTCTGACTCCGGTCTTTGCACACTGCCGTTGGTTGGAGCTACTTTTAAAGTGCCATTCCCTCTGTTTCTTTTCGATTTTCTGATGTAATTCAAGCATCCCTCCTTCTGTAGTAAATTTGTTCGCCTTATACGCTACCAGGACGCAGTTCATGAACGACGGTGAAATTTTTTGATAACTGGGAAGTTTGCATTTTGCAACATCCACACTTTCGTGCTCCTTAACTCATAGGTCCGTATAATTTGAAGGGTTTGCGCAGACGTGTGCGGCGCTAAGTTCGTAATAGTCTCCATACATCCAAATCTAATACCCTCTCAGATTGAACGTAATGTCGTTTTTGCGCCTCCCAATTAAAAACCCGCGTAATAGAACTACTGATACACTTAGACTTAGAGCCTGTTCGCCGTAGATACGGCGAACCAATAATGATAAAGCATATGTGTACCCTCCTCATTAGCTGGCTGAATGTTTACTGTAACGACGAACCTCTTTTAGAAGTTTGAGATTGATTTCTGCAATTTCGACTAAACATTGTGGGTAATCTAAAGCCTGTGTCGTAACAGAACAATGTCATGCGCAGTCAAGTGCATTTTTCCTTTGTCCTCTGTCTGAATCACCGTCATTACCGAAATTGTGGTGGTTGTTAGTCAGCTGTTTTAAAAGCTGTCAGAAGGATTGAAGAATTTGGGACACTGGGACCTAGATCAAACTTTGCCAAAACCGGAGTTATCTCTGAGATTTTAGGAATGAATGCCGCATGGCTACTGAGCTATCTGCGAAGCAAATTAGTCACATCGGCCTGAGCATTTTCGTTTCCAACAGTGCCTGGAATTCTCATCAAATCCTGATGTAATTCCGTCTATTATTTGAAGGCCGTACCGTGCTCGAAAGGCTTTTGACAGTTTCCATGAAAAGGTTGGTGATTCCTCCCTGTTGCCTGAAGGTTCTTTCTTTTGATAAGTCAGAACCAGCGATTTCTTGATGGAGCCGGCCTTCTCGTGGCATACGATCTTATCTAATTTGGTATACTTTAATCAATAACCTCGGATTACCCGTTTTCCCCCGCTCGCACGCCCCCTAATTCGCATATTGCAATTTGCGCTGTCTGTTTTGGTACCTCGTTGGAGTCCGTGGGCTTTGTTTTGTCAGTGGGTTTGCATATCCAATCCTCGCCCCATAAACAATGCCTGCATGTTTCCAAATCATCCCGACGCGTTGGCAGTCGTGACCTAGAAGGCCTCAGAGTGGCGCGGAGAGGCGGTCGAACTAAGCACTGAAGGCCAGGTTCCAACCAAAGGCTCCGAGAACTCCTTACGGCAGTCTGGTACATAGGACATTAAGGACCAGGTCGCCCGTAACTTGCGTATGGGGACTGTTCAGTCTTGTCGGTCGCTGCGCTTGCGTCCATCTCAAGTCGCCTGGTCCTCGCCTTGTCATCACAGGACGGTGTGGACGTCAGAGGGATGAGGTGGAGCAGATCCAACGCAAGCCGGATTCACCATGTTAGTCGCCAATGTCTGGCCACGTGAGCGTGGGGGCCGTCGTTTGCAACGACTAAACCCTCACCAATTCGACCTCCCTTAATGCAGTGACAATTGATCATTGGCCGCCCCTGGCATCCTGCTCTCATCTGCGCCTTGCAGAAACTCTACCATGTGAAAAAGTCCTTCTGGACCGTGTAAAACAAACGAGGATAGAAACTGTCCTACCACGCACGTGACTGCGTTTACCTGTCACCATGAGTACTGGACTTAAAGAGAAAACCCCACGGTGAACTTTGGGAGGCCCAATAGTTTGACCGTTGTAAGCAACGACGCCCATTATTATCTTGAAGGAGCAGGACAGAGTGTTCCCGTTATTTGCGACCTCCCAAACCATGGCTTCAAACGCGTCATAGTGCCTGCAGGCATTCTAGATAGATAAGTGAGCTGAATTCTTTGAGGAAGAGTAGGTCAGAATAGACGCAACTTTCACCTTTCCTTACAAGTTCAGTGCCCGAGAGTAACAGACGACCAGTGCTGGGGTTGTACGCAATGACTGATCTGGTGTGAGCCTCTGCCCAACCTGTGTCACTCACGTGCAACAGTATCTTAGGACTTACGCAGCCCGGATGGTGGGCCCAGTTTTGCCTAGCGCAACGGCGGTACTTTCCGGCCGACCGGGCTGAAAAGGCGAATCTCCGTTCGCCCTGTGTCGCACCGCATCAGACAATTGTTGAAACGGTTGTCTCGGTATTTGTCTGGTTCCGGTGTTTACAAATATGGCAGATTTACCTTCCGTGCATATCGCGACTATGTCAGCTGGCGCTTTTGATGTCTGTTTCAACTGAGAAGACAAACGAACAGCCTTTCGTATTTTCATTAGAACCAATTGAGACTCAAAAAACATCAGTCTTGTCATGCTTTTAACTCATCTCTTTAACCGCAAAATCCGACACTACGAACTGTACGTGTTTACTTGCATAGTTTTGGCGTCCACTTGCAGTTGCTGGTTGGGGTCTGATGAAGAGGACAGTAAGTGAGGCACTCCATCCGTGTTGCTTTTTTGTTTCATCAATCTGCCCGGATTTAGGCCGCACGGTGTTGCATTAAGCATACATACATACCCAATACATGCATGCAGAGACGGCATTTTACGATTATACATAGTTTTCAACGACAGCACATGTGTATGTATAACCATGATCGACAGCACCACGGCGTGTACTTCATATTGCCTCTAATGAGATATAATTAGAGATAGATTTACTTTCTCTTCGTGACCCCTGTAGACTACGGTTTTCAGGCAGAGTCCATCTTCTTTGGAGTGCCCTGAGGTAACAGTTCACTGGTGTTAAACAGCCGCCCTTCATGAATACTCTGCAGGTAGTTTTCGGTATTCTCATCCACGAGGGAAGCGACCACCCAATAGGTGTCAAACTTCGGAGTAGCAAGGAAGTGGCGCTATATTCTGCTAAAGCCATCATTTCCAGTTCCAGATAGAGGTAGGCCAAACTGCAACATTTGTGATTTGGCAGCCCTTTTGACTGTTCCAGCAGAGATAAATGGGCCTATGAAACCTTCAGAAGATAAATAGTGCCACACCTGGCTGACTCGGATAATGGCGCAAGACACGGTATGCCGGGGCAGGAGATCGACGCACTGACTGAGGTCTTGGGTGCCTAGGGACCAGGGCTTGAAGGCGAGCCCCTTTTGTGCGTTGTTCTTCTGTTACGTGTAATAGACCTAGCGGCCTGACACGCCTGACGGAGAATTCCATTAAATTCCTTAGACTTCTCCAAATTTAATCCTGGACTCCCTTGTTTGCTTACTCAAGTGAATTGCATTAGAGCCATCATTTTTTGAAAAAAATTGATTACTAACCGAAACATACCCACAGTCGTTAGTTTTGCGTGTTTGTAGCCAGCTTCCTTGCACATGTGAAAATTTTAACAAGAAAGCATACGTGATTGACGGGGGTCCATAATGCGTGCATGCTCCCCCCTCCCTGGGGCACGGAAATGGCTATGACCAGCCCTTCAAGCCGGTCAGCTTCCTGATCTCCCCGCAACCACATAGTAGTAACTCCTCCCCCCGAGTCTACTTTTCTGATTGGCTGTTGTCTGCACGCCGGTATGTCCGTGCCACGCTCGCATGCACATGCGTAGCTGACGTGGCGCCATTGCGACTTCACTCTCGTACACGCGAGCACACGTCTTAACTTCGCGACCTCCTGACGACACTTGCACTCTATTCGCACCCGAGCTTGGTCCATTCTCTGACTCGGTTTCTTTTTCCTGATTTCCATAGTTCACCAACCCATTGACCTCTCAGTATGTCGGATAGACGACCGCTTGTTTTAACAACGGGAGGCGCCGGTTATGTCGGCAGTCACACTATCGTAGAGCTCATCGAGGCCGGCTACGACACTGTCATCTTGGATAACTTTTGCAATGCCAGTCGTGGTATGTTTGTTATTTATATACATATTTTATTCTAAAAGACTGTGCCTTTTTCGTTCGGCAGATTGTCCTTTCGTCCTTTATCGCCACGACTCTAAAAAGCTAGATTGGACAGTGTAATTAGCCTAAACCTTCTCTTTTATTTCCCCTATGTGAATTGAAGATCGCTCTCTGGAGTGATCGTGGGATCGCCGTTTTCTAACGCGACGCACAGTTCTTTCTGCCAGTCACATCTAGACTTGCGGTCCTCAGGAATCGGACTGTTACTGAAGTTTCCACCAAGTTTCGCTGTTGCCTTACCAGCAGAGATATTTATCTGAGTTCTGGGGCGCATTGTGAGAAGGAAGTTCAAAAAATCAGAAAGCGATCATAACAAGCTTCTTTTTCAAAACTCCGCCCAGACACGTGTAGTTTACCCCCTTACCCCCCCGTGGACATTAGACTCTCACCGGTCTTGATGGAAAACAACTGCGTTGCATTCTACAAACAGATACCACAAGAGAAAAGCCTGTACTTCATGTCCCTGCTTAACAGATATCTTATAGGAGACGTCAGGACGGCCACTTTCGTGCATCATTAGGCGGACTCTAATTATCATCATGCCATATCGCTGCTGTCAGAACTCCGGACTCTCTTAGCCAGAGAACCTACATGATGCGGTCGTTTCTGAACATTCTCCAGAGTTATCATGACAAAGTTTTGTGGGCAACTCGTTCCCCTTTTGCGTTCGTCGTTTTTTGGGGGTTTGCAATCAGAGCACAAGCAACCTTTCTCTGTTACCAGAAGCGTCCCTTTCCTTGTTCCCCCAATCAGCTTTCCACATCGTTCCTGTCCTAACATTCTCATACTTTCTCGCAATTTTAAGGTTGTATCCCGAATCTGGAGAAGGTCTGCAAGACTAAACTGAAGGTTCGAGAAGTTGATCTTCTCAACAAGGATGCCCTCTCTGACCTGTTCACGGAGGTAGGTCTTTTAAATGTCCACTCTTCCCCCGGTTTTCACCCCTCAAGGTAGGACGTCAGTGCCAGGGATAAGGTTGTGGAGTTCATTTCACAAAGACAAGGGAAAGTATCGCGACAGCATTTTCAGGCTTATTCGTGTTTTCTCCGGTCTCGCGAGCGTACACGGGCCAACTTCATCTCAGCATGGTCTGGACGCATGTTCGAGTTATCGTTCAGGGGGTATGAAAAGCCGAAGGAGGCACTGCCTCAGCCCGAAAGAACTGCCTTCCCAGTCTTCCTCGTAGTTGTCCGTTGTTGTCGTTCAGTGGGTCGCTTTGTGGCGCTCGCCCTTTCGCGACCGCCTGCACTAGTACTTTTCGAGACGCCGGTCTGCCCCCCTCCCCTACCCCACTTGAGTGTAGATGATAGGCCTCCTGTCCTCGAGCCTCATGTCTGCGCTCCCTCCCTAGGGGCCGTGTGCCCTCCCCCTCCCACAGTTCTCTTGACTTTGCCTTGCCATCGCAGCACGGCGAGTGTGCGGGGGGGGGCGGGTGGTGCGGCGTGGCCTGCTTTACACATGCAAGTCACCGCTGTTGCGCCCATCTCATGGGGCGCTGATTGACGTCATCGCTTGCGACGGTCGAGCTGTCTCAGGAGCCGTGTCACAGTCCAAGCGCGCTTCAGCCGACCTTGAGGCTTTTTGACTGACCACGAGCACTCTCCTGGCCTCAGATATCTTGTTTTTTTTCAGCAAAGTTTCTGTCACTTCTGCCTTCCATTCCGCTACCCTGCTGCTCGCCTGGTATCTCAGCAAAGTCACCACCGCTGCTGTTGAGACTCCAGTTAGCACCGGTGTAGCTGTAGACCAACAACTAAAGCAGAAGCCTCTGTGTGTGCACGTTTGTGCATGCAGCGGTTGGCTACACGTATCGCGAATGCAGATGTCTTCTAATGCGCATCCGACAGTGTTGGGTCTGACACGACACATACGGACAAAGAAACCGCGCTCGCGCCCTGGCGACGGCTCACCAAATCCGTCGCCAGTTCTGTGCATAGTAAATGGCAGTGTGTGTGCGTGTGTGACGTCCACGTAGAAAAGAGCCCCTCATAACCGAAAGGAAAAAGTACTACTGACAAAGCTAGAGGATACTGCTCTGGCAGTATGTCACTTATCTGCCATCGTCAGTCAACCATACTCTAGGTTCGGGAGACCTGAAATTTGAACCCAGGTTTAGCTTTACGCCTTGCCCGTTGTGCCACGAGCTCACGCTCTGGTCTTTGTTATCGAAAGTTTTCCGGCTCACGCAACTAGGTTGGATCTGTAAACATCGCATCCGTATGACTCAACATCTGGTCAGCCGAATGCGGCCTCTATGACAGGAATGTGACAGTTTACCAAGACTACACTGGAGGTATCTTTCAAACCGATTTGTAGCCTTCGAACATTCCAATCGACCAATGCGAGCACGGACAGAAAAAGGATTTGAATAAAGCCCGGTTGCTAAATGCCCTCTTGTAGCAAAAAAAACAGGAATACAACATTTACTTGAGTCAAACGTCGCCTTCTTAAAAAAAAAACTGGGAATTGCAAACTGTCACCCCCTAGACAGGGTCTAGTAAGGACAACAGTGTTTACTTAGCCTAAGTACATTTAAGATTGCGCATCCTTCGGGTTTAAATTTATCCTACATCATCCTACCCTTTATGTGCGTCAATTTTGTACTTTGAGCGCAAATGAACTGTTGGGCTTAGAACGTGCCGTATGCTCCCAGAACGGGCCGCCCTCCATTATAGAATTTTCCTTGAAATAATCATTTCTGTTGCTCGCATGCCACACAATCTTGCCGGCCACTCAAGCCACACTGATATCAAACCACTTGGACTTGACTTGGTGCTACATTACCAAAGAGCAACTGCAGCGGGACTCAAAGACGAGAATCGCGTCATCCCGCCGTTTAATAACCTTAAAATCCGCGGATTTTTAAACAGAATAGTGGCTCAATGGTAATCTAGGCTTATTACTGGAAAAAATCTCACAGAGTCGGCTTTATCCTTTCCTCCTTCGTTGTGTACCAATAGAAAAACCGACCAGATATGAGCTTAAACTGGGTGGCTCTCCAGATATTTCTTCGTCCTCCACCTACATCACGTGCCATTTTCCCGACCAGCATGATGTAGACTTCAGTTGGACACTTGTTCAGTTATAGGGAGCTTGACATGCATCACAGTCCGGCCTGAAAGCACCACTACCTGTGACTGCTATCCTTACAGTCTAATCTGTTGAGGATTGTTGGGTGGGTACCCTTCCAGCAGTACCTGAACTTTAGACAGCAGTGTCCTGGTCGTGATTCGCCCTGGTTATCATAGGCTCTCCTACAAGCAGCCGATTGGGAGCTAAAAGCAAGTAGACTGATGAGATCTTCATGCACTTCAACCCCGTCAACCACGATGGCATAATTTCTGCCTGGTGTTTGTAACTCTTTAGTTAGAACTGTCTTTTGCTTACACACCTTTTTGGGCCTCGGTTACTTTGCAACAAAATTTATACGAATGCCTTTCAAACTTCTCGACTATTTATGATGAACACTGAAACCGTTACCATTGTTGTCGTCGTTATCGCGAGCCTCATAAATAGCATCATTATCACACCTAACGAAAGCGCCAACACTAATTTAGCGATTAATTAGTAGGAAGTTTTTGTCTTGGGTACGTGAACCCTTACCGAGGAGAAAGATGTTTACCTAGAAGAAGACTTCTCGTCAAGATTTTTCTGCCGTAGGTCCTGGTAGCAGCTTTCGGGTACAACCCCCCCTTTTGGTTTCTGCTAAACAGTTTACATCTCCAGACTTTGTCAATTGGGATTTCTTGCGTGACTGACGTCATTTTCCTGCCACTGCGGGTGTGAAGATTTCTTCGACCCATTTTGATCACTATACCTTCGGAGAAATAGATGATACCTCTGAAAATTCCATTTTCGCACATTTCAGCTAGCTGTGCATGTAGCGAGTGTCAGGTTGTGCTATAAACGTATTACGGAGTCAGCTTCGGTAGCATTTATTGGTCCATCTAAAGTCACTATGTCTCTCGTATCACGTCTGTCTGCTCCTCTTTAGTTCAAATTCGACTTCGTCATTCACTTCGCAGCCCTAAAGGCTGTTGGTGAGTCGGTGGCCATTCCGCTCAACTACTACGAAAATAACGTCACTGGTTTCATAAACCTTCTACAGGTAGGACTACTATTTTTGCTCACTGTCCTCACATTTATTTTTATGCGTCTACTTTCCGCGTTTTTTCCACCTCGTTCGGCTTCAGGGCGTTTATAATTTTGCAGCCCTAAGACCGTCTTCTATGTCTAGCTCCTCCTCCTCCACTGATTGCGTCATTTAGTCTATCTGAACTTATTTATAACCATTTGGTGTTTTTTCAGGCTTAATTGACCGTCAGTAATCCCTTTGTCGACATCTCTTTTTAGGGGTTCGACTTTACCGAGTCAGTGATATTAAGGTCTGACAGTGTGGCCCGGCTTTTGTCTCAGCCATCTGTTAGGATGAGCAGTAACTGTAAGCCAATAGCCGGTGACGAACAAACTTTTTTTAACTAAAGCGTACTTCTATTGATGACCATATTGTTTTACGTTTGATCAGACCGGTCGCGGGTAGGGACACGTATTTCACTTTCTCACACAAAGTTGAAAATGATTGTATTTGTCATCCATCCTCACAATACCCATTTTGAAATTTCTAAATAATTCTCTCACTCTGCGTCAATTCCTTCAGTTTTTATTATAGTCATCTGTCAAAGGCCACAGCCTGCTGCATTTCTACCGACATACCTACCCTCCTGCTTAGGTTACCCAAAATTGTCATTTGTTCTGGAATTTAAGATGTGTGTTCATGAAATGGCTTCTTTTAACCCACACCTTTGTTCCTTTCACCAGAAACTCTAGGCCTTAAGCCTTCGCAGGCGGTCGATGAGAAACCAATAATTGATATGTGTTATCGAAAAAGATAGGGGAAACTGTAATGATTTTTTTCTGTCCCATTTGCCACCATCGACCAGCCATACTCTGACTCAACTGTAACTTGGGTAGTAGGAATCATTACGTCCGTTTTCTCTCTCTCCAAACAATGGCATCTTCGAAATTGAGCAGTTTGCTGAAATTTAATTCCAAGCCAACTAGTTGCACAGTCTTAAAGACTGTGTGTGACCATTTTGTTCGGTGCTTCATCACGATAGCAACCAAGGCTTTGAATAAACTGGGTAATGTTGTTCGGCAAGCAATCTGCGTCGTTTTTGCGTCTTCTTTGGAGGACTTTTGTGCATTATCACTCCCTTAATTTGTCTAAAATGAGTCTGTGTACTGAAAGCAAAGTCAGTTTCTCTCCATTTTCAGGATGACATTTTGTCGTCCTTATTCTTGTCTTTTTATTTCCTATTCCTTACTCTAGCGCGTCGTCTGTCTCCCTTTAGTTTCCCTGAACTCGTTTGGGTTTTTAAAGCCTGTCTGTTAATTTGTGGAAGAAAAGCATGTTTTTTTTAGACCGGATGTCGCATTCACATTCGCGTTTAATTATGATTTCTCGCCTTCCCCCCTCCCTCCCACCTCTAGGTTATGGCGGCACACAATGTTAAGAAAATTGTCTACTCGAGTTCTTGTTGTGTTTACGGCAACCCCTCCAAGCTTCCACTGACAGAGGACTGTGATGTTGGCAAGTGCGCCAACCCTTATGGCACGACCAAGTACATCGGGGAGCTGATGTTGCGGGTAAGGTTCGCTCTACAAGAAAGTGTGTGTTTTGCAGATTTTTTTCTGACTCACACCGCCTATCACTGCAAACTCCCCACCATGATTTTCTTCTCCTAAAAGGACCTCGTCGCCTCCGATCCCGAATGGTCAGTCATTAATTTGCGTTACTTCAATCCTGTGGGAGCGCACCCCTCTGGCCTGATTGGTGAGGATGCAGGCAGTGCCCCGAAGAACATATTTCCGTGTATCACGAAGACAGCCATGGGTTTAATGAAGGAGGTGCACGTGTTTGGGAATGATTATGATACACGAGACGGCACAGGTGAGCCTAACAGCCCATTGGTTTGGGAATTTGGTCTACTTGCCGTTTAGGCAGGCAACTTATGTTCGTTATATCATAAATTAGTGCGTACTTATTTGAAACTACCAGTACTAATTAAGGCCGAAATAACGCAGGCGAATCTCTGTGGGCCCATTTTAGAAAAATTTGCCCGACTCGCGTGTTAATAATCTCTGATGGCTTTTTGGGTCCCTGGTATATCTGCCCCTGTGTTTGCATCTCAAAAATGCAACAGGTGTTCTCGGCTTCCAGTTGGCTGTTCGTCGAGTCTAATTTTCCCCTAATTGCAATAAATCTTTAGGTTGCGTGGGGGATGAACCCACGTTTCATGGAATAGTAAGTATATTGATCTGAGCTTTCAAACTCATACAGGAGGCCATCATCAGAGAAAATTAAAATTCAACAGCAAGAACGCAGCTTTCATAGTCGAACAACGAGAAAGGGAGCAGGGGTAGTGGGGGGGAGGGGTGGTAGCGTTCGCGACAAACCGGAAGTACACCACGTATACCGAAAACAAACTACTATGCCCTGGAGTTGGAATTAAGGCGAACCTTCTGTCGAAAACACCCCCTATGACGACCGTTAGTCGTTTGCATATAAACAAAATTGTTTGAGAAAGCGAAATAAAAAGACAACGACGCATAGTGAAAGAGAGACAATAATACAAGGCGTCCGAGGCATTCATTAAACTATCAAATACTCGACGTAGTCTGAATTGTATAACGAGGGAAGACGTTTGGCTGCAGGACACTACAGAGATCGCAAATGCGTGCGACCCGAAAACTGATGTTTTAGGAGAGAGTCGAGTCGCTGAGGCCCCGAATTCGAGTGGTGCGCTCTGCCTCCTGAGCTAGCAGGAGTGTGCCTGCCAACCGGGCGAATGATTACTTTGTTTGACTCGTGAGGCTAGTCTGTTACATAATCTGGATGCGCAGTATTCCACTTTCAGTAGACTGTTATGATAAAGAAATTTTTCCGCTCGTCTCCAAGTTAGATTGGTAATGGACATCTGAGGCCCTGGAAAAGTAACTGATACTGTATTTTAACTTAAACTGTTAGAAAGCAATGTTGCTCATCTAATGTTGAGCTTTTTGACTTGACGTCAGAGGGATGATCGAAGAGGTATTTGTGACTGATACCTGCTGGTTTTGTTTTCTTCCAGGAGTTCGCGACTATATACACATTGTGGACCTTGCCAAGGGCCATGTTGTAGCAATGCATCATCTCCAGACCTTCAAAGGCTGCAAGGTTTGTTATCCTGTCCCCTCATCTCGTCTGTAATGTTTTGCGCCGATGAACAGGTTTTTATACTGCAGACGGTACCAAAATCTGTGCCTCGACCAATTCCTCTTGAAGTTGTAGACTTTGAGAGTGGGCAGCCTTTTCAGCCCTGGTTTTCAGAAAGCCTGTCTGCATTACTAAAGCAGCAATCAGTTCTGATTTGGGGCTGTCTGTTAATGGATTATTCAACGCAGCCCTAGACGTCTTTCTTAATAAGAATGATCATAATTTTTGTTGATCACCCTGGATTCACCGTGTGAGGATGTGCTTCCATAGTTCTTATAGCCATTCCCGTGTTTTTTTTACTTCCGGTCTCTTTGCCTTTTTTTCTAGGTCTACAACCTGGGAACTGGAAAAGGTTACACTGTGCTGGAGTTGATTGAGGCCATGAAAGCGGCCTCGGGCAAAGCGATCAACTACAAGATTGAACCTCGCCGTCCCGGAGACGTTTCCACTGTGTACGCGGACGCCACGCTCGCCAAGAAGGAGTTACACTGGCAGGCCAACCTCGGACTTCCCGTATGTTCCTTCCCGACGTCTTGTGTTATGTTTCGAGAGAGTAAAAACCCAAATCGTGCTTTGAAAATTTCATTGCATAGGACATGGGTTTGCACCTACTCTTGAACTTTGGAACGGTCAGTAACCCACATTCTCCCTTTCGACATCCTCGCGTGTTTGGCCACAATCTCTTTGCACAAAAATTGTGTGAGGGGATGTTGGCTGCCAAAAAGTACGCGGAGTCCAGCATTGCTACCGCACTCTTTCCTAAAGGAATTATTTTATTGGATCCTCATTTACTCCTACAGAATTACGTCCGTCAATTGTGTATACCTCCTTCGGTCCGTTAACATCTTTTTAAATATACCGTGGCACCAGAAGTGCATATAGACTTTCCATCCCTGGAAAACCTACGAGACGCTAGGAATCCTATAACTGAGCTTTTCGAGCGGCTGTAACATGTGCACATTCAGCCCTGAGGGTAGCCTCTCACAGGTACCCACAAACCCCATAATCATTCAGTCAGCTCGTCAGGCTGACACTAACTGCCTCTCACGTGACGCTTAGTCATTTACGTCCACATTGTTTTTCCTTCTCCAAAACAAAGCTGAGCCCTGATTATTTTCATGTTTATGGTACATCCACTATCCTAACCGCCACATTATTGCTTCTTCGGAAAAACGGAGCACTGGAAACTGTCACCACGTCACTTTAATGGAGCCTGTTTCATGGTATCGAACATCCTTCTATTTGCTTAGATTTAGCATCAGCTTGCGCCTCCTCCATCCCTCTTGTTTTTTTGCTTTAGGAGATGTGCAGAGACGCTTGGAGGTGGCAGTGCGAATATCCGAACGGCTATGTATCGCCCTCTGGTGATGTCCGCAGATAATGCCGACGTAAAACCCTCACAAATTTGTCGTCTGACCACTTCTCTTACCAGCCTGTTTTTTACGTGTTTGGATTGTAGATCTAACTGCTCTTCGATTGTACTACTAGGTAAAGCACTAAAATACTGAGTTAAGTGACATTTTTTGTTTTTCATTTCTGCATACTATCCACCAAAAGTGGACGGTCTTATTGCACCAGACCTAAAATGGAGCAAGTCTGGTCCTTTGAAGGACCAGCACGTGCATTTGACACGTTGGAGGTGAGGTGAGATGCCTGGTGCGCCACGGGCTTCCATCTAACCTACGCTTATTTTAACTCGGTCTTGTCACTAACGTACGATGGAAGAGCGAAAAGACCTGCCGACCCTACGTGGTCATACCTCGGTACAGTGCTAACACCGATGCGCCTTTAGACTCCTACGACCTATTAAACGTCACGCTCTGTCGACGACTAATAGGCCAGCATTGGTCATTCCAGTATCTCTTGTCTTTTTTGGTAATACCATTCTGCCTATATTACGCACCACTATGAGGCTGCTGGTTGGGCACGAGAGAGAGCCCGAAGGTACAGCGAGTTCCGTAGCACGATCGATGAGTGCCCCTTTACCATTGTATATTCTCGATCGCGACCGACAGCACAACGAGCCGGCGACTCAGTCGTTAGAGATCTTGGACTTCTAACCAACAGGTTGCGGGATCGAGCCGCAGCTGTTCCACACTTCGGGGTTGTGTGTGGCTGGCTGACGACGGCTTATAAGCCAAAAGTGGCCGTTCCAGTCTTCCTTGTCTTTGTCGATAGTGCTATTCTGCATATACATATATATGTATATATGGATATAGGCAAAAATGCTGACCCCAGGTGTTAATATGGAAGAGGAAGATGAGGCGATCTCTGGGGAAGAAGGTTTATTCATCTGACGTTTCATGTTCATGCTCAAGCACATCACTGGAGACACATTAAGTGAAAAATACAGGGTTTAAATGGGCTATCTGCTCTCGCATCCGATAGGCTCGTCCCGTTCTCTTTTGATTGGCCCTCCTCTCGCTCGTAAATGGTGCCTGACGGCCTCGTATGGCGCTGGCGATAGGAGGGCCAATCAGAAGAGAATGGGACGAACCTATCGGATGCGAGCGCGGATGCCCTATTTAAACCCTGTATTTCTCACTTAGTCTGTCTCCAGTGATGTGCTCGAGCGTGAACATTCTGGACCATTCTGCCTATATATCATGGGTCGCTGTGCGGCTGCTGGTTGGGCTCGAGAGAGAGCCCTTAAGGCATTACGGAATGAGTGAGTTCCGTATGAACGATCGGTGAGCGCTCCCTACCATTATATATATTATATATATGTGTGTGTATGAAAGAAGGAAGTCCGTCGGAAATAGGGTTTTACTTGTAAATTTTCGAGCTGGTTGCGCCAACCCGTCGTCAGACAAAGTGAAAATTGAGCGGTGGTATTGTCACAGTCTTTTCACAGTCTCTTCGCCTCTATTGGTATTGTCACACTGCTGGTTGAGGACGTAGACAGAGGGGTAAGCAGACGACCTTGCGAGGGGGAGGCGTGCATCGAGTTGTGATGGGTGCAGGAGGTGAGGATAGGCGTTGTGGGTCCCAGCTGTGGTTCAGCGTGTTGGGGGGGGGAGGGGGGAGTAGGGCAGAGAGGGAAGAATGGCGTGTCGGTGAGATCATGCATGTCCGGGCACGCATTAGCTGTTGTTGTTCTTAGGGTGGGCGCCAGTCAGTCCACCGTGACCGGAGACCCTCGTAGTAGATATTTAGATCAACATGGCGGTTAATTCTATCTGCACCGGAGTGCCAAGCTTCGAGGAATTCCCGTGCATATTTGGTGTTAGCCATGGCGACCACTTCGGTACCGTTCCAATTGAAACGATGGTCACAATCAAGAGCGTGTGCAAACACAAGAGATAAGGGGTCGGATCGGCGGATAGCTAACTTGTGTTCATTAATGCGAGTCACAAGTTGTCGACCCGTGTGACCAATATAAACGCAACGGCCGCTAGCGCACGGGATGCGGTAAATGACGTTACTTTGTTGTTCTTTGGGTATGGGATCCTTTGCCCGGAATAGTGCTGCGCGTAAGGAGGACGCCGGCTTGTGGGCAATGCAGATGCCAAACCGGTTTAGTTGTCGGGCCATCGCTTCAGAAATTCTTCGCATGTAGGGCAGGGAATAATATTTCCTCTGTGCCACTTCTCCACTTGAACTCTGATCTTGTGGTTGCCTCTGACGCCTGAGACAGTTTTTCACGAA